TATCTTGATGGAATACTGCATACTGATCATGCTCTGCTGCAGGATGTCACAGTACATGTTGGCACATGGTACATGGTTCCCTCAATGAACTGTAGCTCCCCAGTGCCGGCAGCACTCATACAGCCCCAGACCATGACACTCCCACCACCATGCTTGACTGTAGGCAAGACACACTTGTCTTTGTACATTACATTTATTCACTTGGCAGACGCTTTTATCCAAAGCGACGTACAATTAAGCAAAGCGATATGAGTTCCAGAGGTGCACAGAGTAGAGGTGTGTTTTTATTTTTTATTTTATTTATTTATTTATTTTTTTAATGAGTTGGTTAGGTGTTCACGGAAGAGATGGGTCTTTAGCTGTTTTTAGAAGATGGTGAGAGATTCTGCAGTCCGGATTGAGATAGGAAGTGCATTCCACCACTGAGGAACGGTTAGCGTGAAGGTTCTGGAAAGGGATCTACTAAACGTCGTTCGCTAATTGATCGCAGATTGCGAGAGGGAACGTAGGCCTTCAGGAGAGAGTTGAGGTAGGAGGGTGCTGTTCCTGACAAGGTCTTGTAGGTGATCATCAAGGCCTTGAACTTGATGCAGGCAGCTACAGGAAGCTACTGGAGGGAGATGAAGAGGGGTGTGACATGTGTTGTCTTGGGCTGGTTGAAGACGAGGCGCACTGCAGCATTCTTAATCATCTGAAGGGGTTTGATGGAGCTGGCTGGGAGGCCTGAAAGCAGTGAGTTGCAGTAGTCCAGTTTTGATATAACAAGAGCCTGGAGAGGGTCTGATTTTCTTGATGTTGTACAGGATGAACCTACAGGACTGTGCAGTTATTGAGATGTGGTCTGTAGAGGTCAAGCCGTCATCAAGAATCACCCCAAGGTTCCTGGCCGTCCTGGTTGGCATGAGTGTGAGTGAGCTGAGCTGTACAGTGAGCTTCTGGTTGATTGAGGGACAGGCTGGGATGACGAGAAGCTCAGATTTTCCCAGGTTAAGCTTAAGATGTGGTTCCTCCATCCAGACCGAGATGTCCGACAGGCAAGAAGAGATGCGTGCAGAGACAGATGGATCATCAGGCTGGAAGGACAAATAGAGCTGGGTGTCATCAGCATAGCAATGATATGAGAAGCCATGAGACTCAATCACCTGCCCGAGGGATGTAGTGTAGATAGAAAAGAGGAGTGGACCCAGAACTGACCCCTGTGGAATGCCAGTTGTGAGTTGCTGAGCTTCAGAAATACCTCCGCTCCATGATCCCTTGAAGGACCTGTCAGACCGATAGGATTCCACCGAGCGTAGAACCGTTCCAGTGATGCCCAGGCTGGAGAGAGTTGACAGGAGGATCTGATGGGTCACAATGTCGAAAGCAGCAGAGAGGTCAAGTAGGATGAAGATAGATGATCTAGAGGTTGCTCTTGCTAGTCGTAAGGCATCAGTGACGGAAAGCAGAGCAGTCTCCGTGGAATGGTTGCTCTTGAAGCCAGACTGCTTGGTGTCCAGGAGGTTGTTCTGTGAGAAAATTGGAGAGTTGATTTAAAAACAGCTCTTTCAAGAGTTTTGGAAAGAAAAGGGAGGAGGGAAACAGGTCTGTAGTTGTCAACTATATCAGGGTTGAGTGATGGTTTTTTAAGCAGTGGGGTAACCCGGGCTTGCTTAAATGAGGTAGGGTATGTGTGAGATCATATGGATCATATGAAGCACAGCTTCAAAACAATACACAACAATCCTGTGTATTAATGATGGATTTAAAGCACTTAACAATGAAATGCACTCCGTTTGAAAATTGTTTAGATGCAATATTGCATGCATGCAGTTCTTCAGCGTGTCCAAAAAGTCTCCATATATAGGGGACTATGTTTGCCAGCATCACGTCGGTTGTGCCTTTATTAGTGGAAGTTCGCGGACGTCCACAACACTTCCAGTCTTTTTCAATTTGTTAATAAGTTTGGCAACTGTTTTCGCCATGTTTCCTGTTTTTTTTTCAAAATGTTTCCACATTTTGCTCAAATGTGTTAATTTCCCCAATGTATGGTTATTGAAGAAAAAAAAAATTTTGGTGTGTGAAATTGGTCATTTAGCAGTATGTGTTCGTTCACTGGCCCTGACCCCGAGGGACGCAATAAAACATTAAGGAAGAAAGGGTAAGAGAGAAATGTGCAGTGTGTTATTTTATTAGTGAATAATTATTTGTATAATATCAGTGAAGAAAACCTGCATGTGGTATCCGACCATTGCCTCCTTTCGAAGTACTTTTTTGATCGCCAGAAGATGGCGACATTGTTACAGCATGGTTGGTTTTGGGGATTTTAATTTGAAGTTTGTTGCATCTGTTCATTTCCATTCTGATTGTTCAGTGTCTGTGTATGTTTATTGTTTTAGCATCAAAAACGGCCTTTATTAAAGTAATCTTTATCACTTACAGGAAGCAATATTGATGTACAACACAGCACACGCAAAGAAATGGGACTTCACAGCTCTGAATTTTCTCTGCACTGATGTAAGTAACAGCCTTCTTCATGATTTATCTGTGTGAGTGCACGAAACGTCCTGGCTGCAGGATTGCTTTGTCATGTAACACAAAAATATATATTTTTTTCAGTTCAAAGCTGCTATCTTCCAGAAAGTCTAATAAGATTGATTGATGGATGTGTAAGGTATAATCCACGGCTAGGTGTGCATTACAGGATTTTAATGCATGACATGGAGGCAAAGAACCACCTGACGTGAAGTGCTTATACCATGGTCACTTGCCAGCATTGACGAGTTAAAGCTGACTGAAAGGATAAAAAATAATGTTTCATTTTTTTAGTTATTTATTTAACAGGTTGTTAAAGCTAAATTCTACCCACTCTAAATCAAAGACAGAGATAAAGTAGTGTGAGAACATTACATTTATCTGAATTAATTATAATACATGGGTATTAGAGAGAGAGATTATGTGGTGTGTGTGTGTGTATCTCTCTAGAAATAATGAAACGGTGAGTTTAACTGCTGTATGCATCTGTAACTGTATGTTACTATGGTTACAGTTGTTTAGAGGCAGTGCATTCATTTAGAACAGTGATTAAGCTGACTGGAACTAATTGTGCATGCAACAGTTTGAACCTTCCAGCCAATCAGAATCGAGTATTCAGACAGACCATTTTATATATTCACAGTTTATATGTGTAAAGGCGCGAACAATATTTCAGACTTTCAGCTGTTTTCAATGAACAAATCAAACAAAAGCAATTGAAATAGTTAAACACAACGAATGCTTCAAGTGGTTTCCCCAAATTCAACTGAAAATATAAATAATGATTTCTCCAGTTTCAAAATTATTCAACCCTTTTATGGCAAGAATCTTTAGTACTTAGTAGAGCACCCCTTTACTGGAGACGCCAATTTCTGGCAGCATTCCTGAGGAATCTTTGCTCATTCCTCATGAACAATGGCCTCCAGTTCAGTAATATTCTTGGGTTTGTGTCATGTAACCATCTTCTTCAAATCCAACCAGAGATTTTCGATGAGGTTCAAGTCAGGTGACTGTGATGGACCTGTACAATTTTCCAGGACTTCTTCTGCAACCGAGCCTTGGTAGAATTTGTGGTATGCTTGGGATCATTGTCTTGATGGAAAGTCTTATAATGCCCAAGCTTCAGCTTCCTCACAGATGGCATGACGTTTTCTCCTACGATTTCCTGATACTTCAGTGAAACCATCTTGCCTTCCACATGCTGCAGGTTTCCAGTGCCGGAGGATGCAAAGCAGCCCCAGAGCAACACCGTTCCACCACCATGCTTGACTGTGGACAGAGTGTTCTTTCTTCATTCTTCTTCCTCCAGACATAACGCTGATCCATTGTGCTGAAAAGTTCCAGTTTTGTTCCATCGTTCCACGGAACGTCTTGTAGATCTAACATGGAAACCTTCTGCGTTTACTGTGCTCACTGAAACCTGTGTCTGTTGCCACAAAGTCTTGCTGCAGGTCTTTTGCAGTCACTTGCGGATTTTTCACAATATTTTTCACGGATTTTGACAATAAACCTGATTTGCAATGGGGGTTGCATGACTTTGATGTGTAGTCAGCCAAAAAATACTTATACGGTGACCTCATATCTCTGTAATTGTATATTTGTAGTATTGTTCATGACTGAAATTTTAATTTGTTCAGATTGTTTTCATCATTTTCATTTCATTTAATAGTACTAGTGGAAAATGAACAGGATAATTTTTTGCAGTACTCCCTACATTTAGCAGATGCTTGTGAGCTGAAAATATAGGCAATTGTACTTAGCGAGATGAAGTATAATTCAAGTATACAGATAATGCAGTACCGTAACTTGAAAATGACTTCACGGAAAGAAAAACAAAGCAAAAATAATGCTTAATTGGTGCTGACACAAAGAATGCAATGAAGTGTGAAGTGTGAGTTTCATTGTCTTTGGAACTAACAGATTCGTGGAGCAGACAGATGAAGTAGTTCATGTAATGTGCTCCTAAAGAGAGTCTCTGATGAACTTTCTGTATGCCATTAATTTAGTGCCACAGTTAAAGGCCATTGCTTTGTTCAGTCATAGTGACGGCGCAGTTTAGCCTGAGAGTGGCTGCACACTCAGCAGTCTGTGTCTGGCCCTTCTGGAGCCTGCTCCCTGGAGGCCCAGTGGCATCACGCACCAACCAATTAACACAGAGGTGGGCATTCAGTGTGACGAGCAACAGCTGGCAGGAGAGAGGCTCCCTGTTTACCTGCTTTCTGTCAGTAAACACATTCAACAGATGGATTTTAGGCTCACTTTGATAATGGCACCTTAATAAATAAGGATTTATACTGAACCTAAACATGCAAGATAGACCTGAACTTTTAGACAATTAACCATAGATCATTAATTTTAAATTGTAATCTCCTTGAGTTTTTGTCCTCCTATTGCTAAATTACTTTTAGGCATAAGTATATGTATGCATTTAAATAGTTAAATTTAAGTAAATATATGTATTTAAATCACTTTTAAAAAGTTAATATAAAACGCGCACGGTGGCTTAGTGGTTAACACGTTTGCCTCACACCTCCAGGGTCTGGGGTTCGATTCCCCATGTGTGTTCGGAGTTTGCATGTTCTCCCCGGGGGTTTCTTCCTGGTACTCCGGTTTCCTCCCCCAGTCCAAACACATGCATGGTAGGCTGATTGGCATGTCTAAAGTGTCCGTAGTGTATGAATGGGTGTGTGTGTGTATGTGATTGTGCCCTTCAATGGACTGGCACCCTGTCCAGGGTGTACCCCGCCTTGTGCCCGATGCTTCCTGGGATAGGCTCCAGGATCCCTGTGACCCTGAAAAGGAGTAAGCGGTGGAAGTTGGATGGATGAATTTAATTGAAGGTACCCAGACTATTTTAAGACAGCCTTAAATGAATTGGTCTGCAGGATGCAGTCAGATTAAACACCATTTTTTGTGATGTGAATTATTCCCTTCTGTAGTATAAGTGGAAGGTGGTGAATTATGTCACAACTTAGACTAATAGTCAAACGCCATTTCTTTTGCCAGCCACTTATTTTCATTAATCAAGTCGTGGGTGTCTGCCAAGAGTTCGGCATTTCTCCTTCCTGCTTTAATAATTTTACTGGCAACTGCATAGCTCAATAGCTGGCTATGTCATTTTATGGCACATTAATTAAAGTGGGCCATTAAATCTATAAGGAGCCTAATCAAAACCATTAGCAAAGTGGAGTTTATTCTAATGAAGTATGTCTTTTTAAGTTCAGTTTACCAAGAGTTTAATTTGATTTGGGTCACAGCAGATTTTGAGCCTATCTCAGGAATGCTGAGCATGATGTGGGAATCCACTTTGGATGGGATGCCAGTCCGTTGCAGGAAATCATACACATGCACATTCACACACTCATTCATGTCTATGGGTAATTTTAGTATATCCAGTCCACTTACTAGCATGTTTTGGGAAGTAGGAGGAAACTGAAAAACCCTGAGGAAATCCATTGTGCCAAATGAGTTATTCTTTCCATTTCCTTTATTATGTCTTTGCTTACTATTTGTCATTGTGGAGTGAAAATAACCGCTTATACTAAAGTGTAGCCAAACCATTTATATTCTTGAATGAAGTTTCTGTCTGTTGCACCTAACATTCATTGCATGGACTGCTTTCACCGCTTTCCAAAATGGACTAGTTCAGAAATCTCTGATTGTGGCTTTCACAGCCTGGGCAGGGTATGTGCTTTCTGTCTTTCCTTTCTCTTTTTCTGAAACCACTAAATGCCTCACGTCTTCTGTTCTGTAATTCTACGTGTAGATCATTGGTTTTCTGTCAACAACAAAGTTCTCAGATTTAGCTTCATCTTTATTTAATCAACAGAGGGCACTAGCATCTCAGATTAGAAAGCTGGAACTTGTTCTAATGCTTTTGTGAAAGAAAACATGATTGCTCCTTAAAAATTATTTATATATATATATATATATATATATATATATATATATATATATATATATATATATATATATATATATATATACACACACACATAAATATATATATATATATATATATAAAATATATATAAAAAATATATATATATATATATATATATATATATATATAACACATAAATATATATATATATATATATATATATAATAAATATATAAAAAAATATATATATATATATATATATATATATATATACACATAAATATATATATATATATATATAATATATAAAAATATATATATATATATAAATATTTAAAAATATATATATATATGTATTTATATATATGTATTTTATATATGTATTTATAATATATATATATATATATATATTTAAAAAAAAATATATATATATATTTATATATATATTTTTTACTCTCTTGATATTGTTTCAGTGAAACAGAGATCCGTTTGAGTGTATGCTGAAACGCTTAAATAGGGCCCCTTTTTAAAAATGCAAATGCCACACCCTACACCTAATCTGAAGCTTAAAGTACTTGATTAAATTTAGAGCAATTCAACATGACTCAAATACAAGGACTGTGGCAAGGGTCTTTGATTGACAACCCACGTGTAATGGCAATGAATAGAAGCAAAAATACAAATGAGGACCTGTCTAGTAAAATTGTTGTGAAAGCGTGGCTGAAATGGAAGTGTCATGAGGTGGTTTCTGATAAATGTCAGCATTGCCTGCTCTGTCGAAATTCTAACATAAAGCATTTATATGAATACTTCTCACCCTATTTTCTTTCTTAGTGGGATTTCCAATCGGAGTTTCACTGCGCCACGCTTTAGAGAAACGAGTTAAGCAAATGGTAATTTGACTGTCAGACTCTTTCTGAAACCACCCATGCCGCAGGAACGCCTATTAAGATGTGGCTTCCCTTCGACCTCAGCTACATTTCTCAGTGGTGTAGTGTGAAGGGGGTAGAGATGAGAAGCGTGTTAGTCTGGCCAGTTCTCTAAGCTGCATGGGCAGAATGTGGAAATGAGGATGCTTTGATTTAGAAAGCTCTAACTCTTGCTTCTTCAGCAGCGTTGCGTTCGCCCTGTCAGCCAACCAAATTCATTATGCCCCGAGGAGCATTTTATGATGTCAGCTGGGTCATTACTTATGACAGTGTTTAGTCAGGCCTTCTTTGCGGCCATATAAATGCTTCTTGGCAAAAATGTCTGTCAGTGCCTCTTGTCCAGAAGTTCCCTTTAGCCTGTTAGCCATTCCCGTCTGTTCCAGGAGTCCCATTTAATCAGCCAAGCATGCCCAGTAACCTTGATGAAACGAGGCCGTTAACTGATCACAGTGACCATCGCAGTCGATATGTTTGTAAATAAGTGCTCTGTAAATCATTGAGGAAAAAACAGCATCGTTTTCGTTTTTGCAGAAATCACATATGACTGCTGAGCCAGCTAGTGCTGCTCGAAATCCCTCAAACCGGGAGTGGTTATTGCAAAGGAGTGCTATTTGTTTCTCTCTCTGTCTCTGTATGTGTGATGAGTGGTGTGGGTGGTTGACTTTGTTTTAGTTGTGGCAAAAGTGAACTGAAAGCTTTCCAAAGCCCACTCTTCTTAATTCCAGTCCAGTGATGTCATTCCCCATTGGGGGTTTGTTTGATATTGCACCGTAACGTTTCTGTAACCTCTGTTCATGAGATCTTTATTTGTTACAGTCTCTATAGATATGAAAGGACTCTGATATTGTTCTTCAGTCTTTTTTTTTTTGGTCTTTTTTTTCCCTCAGAGGTTGCTTTTATTTGAGAGAGCTTTTAAATTCACTAAAAAAGCAATATCGGGTTAACTTTTTTAATTTAATATATTTTTTTTATACCAGGACAGAGCTTGTGATTACAGAGCTTGTGGTTATAATAGCATGCATAGCATTCACCGATAATGTTTTATTGGCATTCAGTTTGTTTTTTAATCCAAATTTACGGCATAGTGTAAGAGTGATTTTCTACTTGTAGCCAATATGTAAGTAATGAAATCTATGTGACGGATACGTTTCTTTTCATTTCAGCATTGCATTGTAATTTATAGTGATTTACATAGTAGTTCAGCATCCATTCAGGGTTACAATTGGTCTAGAGGCTATGCTGGCAGGAATATGCCCTGAAAAGCCCACCAGTCATTTGAAGGGTATCAGACACACTCTCACACACACACACACATATATATATGTATATAAAAAAGAATAAAATTTTATCTTTATTTATCTACTCTGGTAAAGTCAGCCAGGTTAATCTTTCTTTGAAGAAGACACTTGCCCTTTCATAAGAGTGCAGCGATGCATGTTTACGTGTACTCCACACATTCCACACATACTGTCAGTGTCTGTAAAAACATTTAGATTTCATATTTGTCCCTTAGTTCCTTCAGTTTTATGGTTTAAATTCACTCAAAGGTGAGCAATTACTCTTACTCTTACTCTTTTGTAACCACTATAGTTAATACAGCTAGTAAACCCTTACTTTCTCATCCACAGGGCCTGGAACACACCGAGGCACAGTATCTGTTTAACGTTATACTGCCAAAGATGGTAAAATTGGCCCTGAGTGCTCCCAAAATTTGTACCCAGGTAAGTCCCATACACATGCACTTTAGAGTAGGATACTGTAGTTACTGTATTTACACACTCTTTCTCATTATTAAGAAAGATGATGCTTGGTACACAGACCAAGTTGGATGAAAGTGCTGGCAGGCGTGTGTGCACGTATGTGCAGCTGTTCTGTTAACAGGCTCTCAGGGCTGCTGGGTGAAGGAGGTGGTTAGTGAAGTGCTCTGCCTCATCTGCACTAGCCTCATTAGGAGCAGAGCTAATGGAGGTCAAAGGAAACCATCCAGCACCTGCTTTGCTTCCATGAGGCTTAAAAACTGCTTCTTGAGAATTATTTGCCAGCTGCTTCCAAAACCAAGCATGCATTTTATAGTAGTGTTTTTAATTTGACCTTTATTATATACTGCTTTTTAAATGGCTTTTAAAGATTGAAGAAAATTTACATTTGTGATCCCCAATATAAGAAATAGTCTGTCCAGAACTTTTCTTTTTCGCTCATATCCTAAACAAACAGTGTTTGCTAGATGGTGTAACACAGTACCTATGTCTCTTTGTCTAGCATTCCAAATATTCCCATCTGTATTTAGATTAAAACTTGATGTGGGAGTACCCTACTGGGGGGAAAAAACAGAGGTAGAATTGCCAGCACTGTCTGTGAATTTTGGCTCTGACATTTCCTCAACCTCAGCTACATCACTTGCGTTCATAACTGGCCTCAGAATAATTGGTCTCATCGAGAGATGTGTGCGGGAGGTTTTTTTTTTTTTTTTTTGGGGGGAAAAAGAGGACGGCCAGGTCTTGGTAGATTTGCAGTGGTCTGATACTCCTTCCATTTCAAAATGATCGCTTGCACAGTGCTCCTTGGGATGTTTAAAGCTTGGGAATTTTTTTGTATCCAAATCCGGCTTTAAACTTCTCCACAACAGTATTACGGACCTGCCTGGTGTGTTCCTTGGTCTTCATGATGCTCTCTGCGCTTTCAACAGAACCCTGAGACTATCACAGAGCAGGTGCATTTATACAGAGACTTGATTACACACAGGTGGATTCTAT